TATTTTTCAAATTGTCTGAAACTGAAAATTTGTTGACAACTTCGTTTGGCTGAGAAACATCTCAATACATAAGCCGCTGAAGATTCTCCGAGTAATCGGTTAATAAACGATGTCTTTGAGAAATAATCACAAATAGTGCCCACAATGACCAGAGCAAGCAATGATGATAATATTGCACTGATAAATATTAGGCATTATATTTGTAAAATTGAATATAACTTAGTAAAACAAATATAGTATTATATAATTCATACATGGCAATTATTTGCTGTTTATCCAATTTAACTGGTTTGTCTTTGTAATCACAATCGTTTAGAAATTTAATCGGAATTCGGGTAATTGGGTATAGTACTTTAAATATATAATTTGTAATCATTATTATACTGTAAAATTACAAGCTGTCTAAAGTTGATACAGCATGGGACTAATATTTTCTATAAGACTTACTTTCATTGAGTGCATCGGACAGGTCTTCAGGTTTACAAGTGGTAGGCAAACAGTAGCCGTTTATTATCTTGGTATCTTTTTTGAGGCCATATGGCAGAAATTCAAGGGATATGTCCGAGTTATGTTTGTTACCCCGGGATATAACAATTGGCACATAAGAGCCAAACATTCCATACATTAGGTTTTTGCTCGCTTCCGATGAATTGACTATATTTTCCATTGAGTTATAGTCTTTAATGTCACCCTTTTTTATATCTAATATCCAATTGGTATCGATTCCGCAATATTGACCTTTTATTACCGGGTCATCTTCTTCTGGCGGACTTTCAATGCTTAGGCACTGGTCGTAGTTGCCCAGAGAGGGGCCGCCCAACTCGAACACTGTCATCTGGAATGAGGGCTGGGCGTCGAAAACTGTATGTCGATATAAATTATTATTAAGATAAATTGCTATATTTAATCTAGTATATATCCAAAATAACAAAGCATACAGGTAACAACTGTATGTCGATATAAATTATTATTAAGATAAATTGCTATATTTAATCTAGTATATATCCAAAATAACAAAGCATACAGGTAACTTAAACTGCTAACTGCCAGAGAATTATAACATAATAAATAAAACAATAGCAAAATTTGTAACAACAACTTACACTTAAGGGCCCAAAGCTCCCCATTCTTGCCGGCGCTCTGAATCCTCATCAAAGATCGCATACAACTCGGCTCCAAATTAATAGACATAAACGCTTCGGACATACGGTTGGAAATCCTTTTATTAAACCCTTCGGTCTTTCGACTCACGTTTTGGCCGTAAACTCCCAAACGACTCATTGCTGCCATTTGTTCAGTGAATGAATTCTTTGTGTACTTAATCTTGTCTTTGCCTTCTGAGTAGTCTTCGGGAGTCAGTATTTCTATGAATTTCTCAATTATCTCGTCCTCAGAACAGCGATCGTCTTCGTGGTTATCATCGGACTCGCTGTCCGTTAGATTAGTCGACGGACTAGTATTTGTCTCATCCGATGAATAGTCTTCATCGGTATTTAAACAATTAGTTTTACTAATTAATACAATCAATATTGCTACTAATATGAACAGGAACTTCATTTTAACAATTTATAATTACTAAAACTAAATATAATAGTATACTTATAGTCCAAAATGACTATTAAATAGTCTTCATTATGATTTAAAAAGAGTTATGGTTTTTACAGTCAAAGACACTGATAATTTAGATAATTATCAAGATAATTTAGACACTGGCTTGTGAGTGATACATTATTTTTATTGGTTGATAACACTTCTAACTATTTGTTTTGTAAATCCTATTGACTGCAAAATATTGAAATTCACTTTTATAATATTAGGTACATATTAAGAAATATGATTGCCGTAAGTATACTTTATAATTTTGGGTATTTTGTTAGAATTTCAATTGCTTCAGACTACTAACAAAAATCCGTTCATATTTTATTACCTAATTATTACAAATTTCAATTTCTTTAAACAATTTCAAGAACTTTGTGCTTTCTATTAATTTTTATTAAATTGCATCATAAATTTACTCTAGCATCATTATGCTAGTACAATTATTTATGAATTACAGATTTAGTAATATTCCATATTTAATTATTTCCTTGATATTTTCCTTATTAATAAATAAAAATTATTATGTTTTATAGGTTCTGTATTTGAAATTCTAGATTTTAAGGTAAAACTAATATTTTAATTCATTTTAATTACTGTTTCGCTAAAAAATTGTGAATATAACTAGAAAAATTTATTATATCATCTTGATTATTCCCATATTAATGAAAAATAGTTTATAAATTCACATTTATTTAATTATAATGCACTAATTAAATTTACTCGAATTATACAGTATAAGATCCCTTTGATTTTCAATAGAAATTAAACTTTTAAATAACTTGTAAATAATGTTTAAAACTCACTTGAAATATTACATAATTTACAAATCATGAACAAAATACTAACTAACTAATACTAATACTGTGTTATACAGTACTAAATATAAAATATTCATAGGAAATTTCATATTTATTTAATATTTGAGTAATTATTTTTTATTACAGAGTTGTTAATATGATTGATAAAATTAAAAACTTCAACAACTTAATTCAAATAAAACTTTATTAAATGTTTACAAAACTATTACTAATTCCAATAAACCTATAAATTGATTAATAAAAGCAAACAAAACAATTACAGTTAGAGATATAAAATCATAACAAATAATTCATTCAAAAACGTTGGTCTCATTTGGCCTCCGAAGTGGTTCCGATCTCCAGAACTCTAGCGATGGACAGCTCGCGGATCTCCTGTGCCGTGAGAACAGTTCCGAACTCCCTTTCGATGGACAGCTGCACCTCGACCGCCATAAGTGAGTCCATTCCCAGCTTCAGGAGTTTGGTGTTGGGGTCGACTTTCTTGATGTCATCCATGCCGAGAATGTGCGCCAACTTCTTCATGAAGTTCTCTTTGCCTCCACTCGACTCCAGTTTGGGCTCACACTTCACGAAAGACATACACACGGGATGGTCCGACTGCAACAGCGTGTCCATTGTCTGTAGACACGACGGCATACGCTGGGCTACCGTTCCGATGATGACGATGTCGTCCCGTCCGGTGCTCTTCACGACAACCCCTACATCCCCAATGACTCCCCACTGGATGGAGAGGGCGTTATAGCCGTCAGCCTTACGCACGTCACACACTCTGTCCATAATTGAGTTGCTGAAGCCGTAGTTGGTTTGGCCTA